AGGGGAGGGGAGGGGAGGGAGGGGAGGGGAGGGGAGTGGTGGAGGGGTGTGGTGCTCCTAAGAACAAATTGGGGTTTGGTGGGGGTGGGCTTAGGTCTAGGACCGTATACACTAGCTTCTCCTTGAGAGGTGGCACGTTCTCAGGGTCGACATCCAGCTTGTTTTTGTCACAAAACCACAGGATTGCTTCTTCTAGGTCGATGAGGCAAATCGCTTTCTCAGAGTTCACGTGGCAATATGCGGCTGGCAAGCCAACCGGATTAAACCCTGCAAATCGCGAGCCCTGGGCACTTGCGCACATGGTTATGCCCTGGTAGCGCAGCTGGCTCTTGCGCTTGTCGTCGTCGCTGTCACCAAGCGCAGCAAACCTGCATGCTAAACACTTGTCATGGGGTCGAACATGGTCAAACAATCACGTGCTGGCCTGCCAATCAAGTGTTCCCGCTGAACGAACTGAAGATTTTGATTGTTCAGCTCATCACAGTTTTTCTGCACGAGGAGGTCCAACGCCAATGCATCAGCTGGGCCGTGACATGAGCGAACCTGCCGGTCAACCGATGAGCCTGCTTCACCACTCTGCAGCTTGATCTCAAAGTCCGAAGCGAAAGAAGACAGTTCCTGCTCGAGAGTCTAGGGTCTAGGGTTTAGGGTTTAGTGCAAAGTTTAGGGTTTACGGTTTGGTCCTGCGCAAGCTGTCGAGATATGTTTGTTGCGTCCTGGATTCCTGGCGTTGCCTCGGGCTCACCACAGACAGCCGCAAACACCTAACCTATCACTACCTACTACCTACTCGCAGAGATACATAATGACAACAAACACTAACACTGACCAACAAACAAACCGATCAGCCAACAAACCGATTCACCAACAAACCGACCAACCCCCGACCCAATCCACCACCAACCAACAAACCAACAACCCACCAGCCAACAAACCACCAACCAATCCAACCAATGGCCAACCAACCCATCATATGCATCTCTCTGGCGCCAAAACAACTCGATGTTTCTGTCGCACTGTTTCCAAACAGTATTTGCATGATGAATACTTTAGTACCGGGAACCTAAGGTTTAGAGCTTGGGGTTTAGTCCAGGGTCTAGGGCTTAGGGTTTACCGACAAAGCTCAACCAACTTCACTCACTCACGCACTCACACTCCGCAGCCTGGTAAGCCGCCGTGTTGCAATGGACAAAATGCATTGATCAATGCAGTGGCAATGGCGCTTGCTGCTGCCCGGTCCACAAACACAAGGACACTTCTGACTTCTGACTCCGGCGAACCACGAACACCATGCACACCCTCACTCACTCTCGTACTCTCTCACACTCACAACTCACAGTCGGAGAGAGAGGGAGGGAGAGAGAGAGAGAGAGAGAGAGAGAGAGAGAGAGAGGGGGAAAGAGAAAAAGCACAGAGTGTGTATATAGTCTGTACTGTACATTGTACATACAAACCCACGTAAGGAGCGCACATCGATAACCTTCTTGAGAGCGGAGCGTCTCAAGCGCGCAACTGCAGGCACCATTCCAGCAGTCCTGGCGATGTGCCCTGCCAGCTCAGGTGTGGAATCGCAAACCAGCATACAGTTTTCCTTCGGCCAAGTGGAGCTTGCTGCCCAAGACTGCAAAAGGGCGGGGTCAGCCTCCTCGATTTCCGACTGTATCCCTCTTGACCGCGCACGGCCTGCCGTAGGACCACGGGTGCGCTTCTTGGCCCCTGCATCATCGCCATCGCCATCGGCCACCTTGTCATGATCCTCGGGTGGATCTGCAGCCTCTGCAGCTTCAGCTGCCTTCTTCTCCTGCCTGGCTTTTTTTTCTGCTTCTCTTTTTTGTTTGGCCTCTTCAGCTTTGAGTTTTGCATCCTCCTTTTTCTTTCTGCGTTTTGCATCTCGTTCTAACTCCTTTTGCTCTGCATCCCTCGCTTTGCGTAGGGCAGAAACGTGGTTTCGCCATGATGTTGCCTCAGCAATGACAGCTGCTGCCACTGTCTTCACCAAGTCTATGGCATCCCGGTGATCAGCGGCCATCTGGTGCACAGCTTCTGCTGTCCGCTGAAGCTCAATGGCGGTCAGCCTCACATAAAACATTTGCCCGATTGTTTGAGCAGCTCCCCACGGCCACCCTTGCTCCATGAAGTACGAGTCCTGCTGGAGCTCAGCCAAGATCTTCAGCCCAGACTCTTCAGTCGGTTTGGCACGGCTTTCGTTGCTCAGCAAACGCAAACACTTCACCCTGTGTTCCACGGTTGCAAAAGACTGGTCTGCCTTTCTTGCATCATCCGCCGTGCCATGTTCTCGGATGCAGTCTTGCAGCATTGCGTCCCCAATCCTCTGAGCTTCCTGCACGGCTGCTTGCATGTGATTCCAGGCCTTCGTTGTGTCTTTCCGCATTTTGCTGGCAACCAAAGCTGGTTTCTCGGAAGCGCCATTTCGGGCTTTCGGCTTGGCTTTGGCCTTCACGGCGGCACCCTTTGTGTCAGCGGCCACAGTGCCTTTGACTGATGCAGTGCTCGGCAACGAAGGAGGGGCGGGCCCGGCGACTGCGAGGAGGCCACTGCCGCCACCGCCACTGCTCGGCAAAATGCCGATGTCCATCTCCAACTCGCTGTCTAACTCCAACCGAAGATCCCTAGCCGCCTGCACGAGACGGTTGTGCGCCAGCTCTGTCGGCTGCCGCGACTCCACCACATCTTCTTTTGCCACAGACTGCTCCTATCAGGATTTGGAGAAACGTCAACAGCAAAACCTCTGTTTGGGAGCATGAAATGTTAAACACACTGCCTCGAAATTGATGTGGTCTCTCACCTCACCTCCCGCACCGATCTTGACAAGCCAAACACGCCATATCTGAGCCAGCCGAGCAATGGACAGTGACAGGCAGGACTTGGCACACACGAAAACATGCCTCAGCACCAACTGGCTGCAAAAAGTTGCCGAGTCACGTAACCTGTGAAGTTGCCGCTTGTGTCATTCGACGCGACCTGGTCCTTCATCACGGAGCTATCAGCCATCATTGCCTTCCACTTCTGGTCGATTGCCGTGGAGGACAGACCTCTATGAATCGACTAATTGCATGCGACATGTCACGAAAACGAAAACACCACACCTGGCTACAACAACAAAAGACCGCCAAGCCACGTAGATAGGCGGGGCAACCTTTCGAGAACCATTCTTCAAATTCAATTCGGGACATTGGCACTTCACGTGCTCTGCCTTCCTTCCTGCAACCCGGCCCGGCGTGCTGACTCACAGCAAGGACTGTAACACCAGCATACTGCAACAAGCAAAACCCCTGTCCTCAGACCAGATTTCCGCATCCTCCTGACACGGCTCCAATCGTATTGAGCCCGAGTTCGTCCCTTCCCTGGCTTGGGGCACCTTGGAACAGAGATCAAACGAGCCGGACAGGGGGTTCAAGGGGCAGGGAATCAACCTCCTGAACATGCAGCACAGGCGCTCCCTGCAATAGTCAGCAAGCAGGCCTGCAAACTCTGTCGGATTGGACACTTCAAGTTCTTCCAGATACTGGCGCATAGTCTTTCGTGCGTCCGGATCATTGTCCCTGATGGGCTCCGAGGGATCAGCATAAGGAACATTCTGCGCTTGTTGAAGGAAGCTGTATCTGTACGGCTGGTGCTCCGTGCAAAGTTGTATCTTCCTCGTGACAAATGAAGCCGCAATGCAAGAGCACACACACACACACACACATACAAACACACACACACACACACCCGCGCACACACACACACACCGGACCTCACAAGCCTTTGCACACATGCTCTGTCTCATTTGTTCAAAGCCGCATGCCGGGGCGGAAGACAATCTTCTTCTTGCAGATAACACAACAACTTTGCCCATAAGGTACCAGTTCCTGTGATTGCCCCGAAGTATCCGGTCCAATGGCCGCCTCTGCAGCCATTGGAACTTGGTGCGACTGAGTCGGTCAATGTTCTAAGACACCTAACGAGAAGCAAAATGCTGCACAGCAATCGAATGCTCCGACGACAAAAGCATGAAATCCACGCACTCATGAGGGCCAGCATTGGTTGGAACCTTTTGGACAGCGCTCGCGGCGCTCGCTCCTTTCCTGACATGCCTGTACAGAAAATCAGGAATCAGCCCATCGCACCAATGGTTTTGCGGCGGCAGCGAACCAAAACCACGCCCCATACGCTTCCGATAACTGCGCAATGCATCGCCTGGATATCACACTCCCAAGAAAACTGCCTGCTATTCTTCGGTGATGCTGCGGCTGCAGCCAAGCATCATTGCCGGCTAACTGCTTCAATGCTGATTCCGAAAGGTTCCTGATGTCGTGGATCGGGAAAGGCTGAGTGCTGCAATGATCAGGGTACATGCAGTGACCCATCGCGTGCAACGTTTCCTGCGACAAACAGGGAGCCCTCAAGCAGTAACACTCGCAATCCTTTCAGTAGGAGTCCTTGGCGAAGAGCCACCTTTCTTCTCTGTCGCAAGCCACTGTGTTATTCAGCAACAAGTACATCAAGCCGGACCGTAACAGCGTGGGAAGGAAGGGGCTCACGATCGGTCGGGATCTGGCATTCTGCAACAAATTTGCAACCATGCTCGGCGCACCTTAGCTTAGCACAGTCCATGCAAACAGCGAGCATTTGTGAGGGTGTGACTGCGAGTGTTCGAGGCACCTCTTGAGAAGTTGTTCATCACCCGCGGATGGGCCTTGTAGGCCGTGAGGTTGAGGGATTTGGCTCCTGCGCAACCGCACAGCTCCATAAACAGTCTTTCCACTGCTATGTCCTGTCCTGAAAGAAGGCTTTCGAAGGTTGATTTCGAGGACCTGTGCACCTTCGAAGCAGCCTTTTTCCGCTCAACGTCGACTTCCGCCTGGACAGCAGGAGACACGAGCGACATCGCAACATAGGGTGGCATAGGGGGCTACCCCAAAATCGGATTGCCCTGCCCACCTTGGGCGCTGTATACAGCACCGCAACGTCAACCACACATTTCCGGTAGAGCCTTTGCAAGGCCACATCGAATCCTGCGGGAGGCTCCATAGTATCCAAGTTGATTAGCACGGTGTAAAGTCGCGGCCGGAAAAGCGGCCAGGCAAACTGGTGCGGCGACATTAGCACATCGTGGCCATCAATGGCAGGTCGCCACACAGCGTAGCGCGGGAGATATTTCTCGAATACATGGCGGCTGAACGCTGCAGTGCACTCGTGCACCACCACGTCCTGGGTTCGGAGACTCACATCAAATGGAACTATACTGCAACAAGGTCTGAGTGTGAGGTAATTACCGCTGTCCGCTGGAAACGCAAAACAAGCCACGGGCCGTGTGAGGGCGAGCTCGGAAAGCCAAATGCTCAATGCCTCGCAAGATTTCCCCATAAGCCCTGCCATGGACCCGAAGCGGGACACGTCCACGCACGTTGTCCCTGCTGACGCCACATGGAGGCATCGCGGACCAGTGCTGCATTCATGTTTGCAAAAACCGTACGGGGTGGGGCAGCAGCAAAGGTCTGGCTTCTTACTGCTTGACTTGGCCCTAGACGCAGCCACCCGGGACAGAGGCCCCTTGGTGTGCGTCTGCACACAAGGAGCTGCTTCCTGCCACAAGGACTTGTCTGCGAGGCACGTCATGAACTCCTGAAGCAGCATCTCTCCATACTTGGACTTCAGTCCAATCTTGAATTGCTCCACATCCTCATCAATATCTATTTCGCCTTAAACTCAGAGTGGATCTGCAGCTAAACACAAATGACACAAACATGCAAACATACAAATCACGCCAAAATCACACTACATGACATGATTACATGAGAGGCTCTCATCTCCACATCCATTTCGTATTCTATCTTCTCCCGAATACGCTTCATCGAGTCTATCGCCGCGGGCTTCAAACGGTCTTCCAAGCATCGATGTATGTGAGTACATGTATGGTCCTGCGCAAATACCAGCATACAAGCACACAGGAGCAGAACTTGGAGACAAGGACAACAGCTCCTTGCAAAGTCCGAGCAGAGCCGTCTGCGCGTCCTTGGCCTTGTCGCACGCTGTCACGCACTCGTATAGCTGCGAAGCCGGCTGTGGCAAAGCCGGGAAATCTTTGCCAGGTCCTGCGTCGCCTGCGTGCCCGACATGCGAACCCCAATCCTAGCCCTAAAGCAACTCGTCACACGATGTCTCACAGCGGTCCTGCAATTCCAGCAACAATGGTTCCCATTGCACAAAGCTGCTGCTTCAAAGTTATGGATGCGGTACCAAGCCCTGAAAAGGCATCGAAGTGTTTGATGCCATCCCTGCACAACTCAACCATGTTGCGTCGGTGCACAGCAGCTTCCTCACCCTCTCGAAGAAGCGTTTCAGCGTTGCGCTTGTGCCATTCAAACAAGCCCGCAAGAGTTGCCGGCCCATCCGGCCATGAACGTTTCTTGGTTTCCTTTGCTGCCGCGCAGGCATATTTCATGTCCTGCCAAGCCGGCAAGCTGTCGTGACCAAGAACCATGGGATGCATGACATCCTCCGGCCGCACCTTAGCTAGCTAGTTGCTGTTTGTCGGAACCCAATCCAGACTTCGATGCCAAGCCCCACCTCATCCGCGGATGCGGACGACTCCTCGTTTACAGCACGGGTCGAGAGTTCAAGGGCTTGACTTTCTAGGGGCGGAATGCACCAAGTTTCTGACCTCGTCCTCATCGTGGGGCTCTTCCTTCACAGCAGATGCGGGCACCTCCAAGGCAGCATCCCCTGCTGCCGCTGGTCCGCCAGGGGGACCAGGGCTAGGACCACTAGCGTCACCAGAGTCACTGGAGCTGGAGGTGGAGCTGGAGCTGGAGCTGCTCGAGGGACTTGCAGCGCCAGGTCCAGCGCAGTCCTTTTCATCTTCGCTCCCTCCTAGAATGTCCATCATCGACAAGATCCCCTCTTCTTGTCGGTCATCCGAATCCGAGTCATCGGAACCATTCCTTGACTTTGCAGCCTTGCAGGCACTCCCTGCCCCGGGCTGCTCGTCAGAAGCGCGCTTCATACCTAGCCCCGACTGATAAATATGCGACCGTCATATGCAACTGTGGCTGCGAGCCATGACAAGCTTTATGATCACTGTATGAGCAATGCATGCCGCTGCTTGCTTTTTTCACTACCTATATACTTTGTCTAGTCCCTGATGAGAAGTAAACCTTGAAAGATTGCCGAAGGGTTCGTCGGATTCGCCGGTTACTTTCATGCACAACAAGATGGCACAACGCCCACGCTGAACCTCGCAACGACACATCATTGCAGCTACACCTTCCGCAGCTCATAATTTTGCACGGCCAACTGTTCAATTAGTCATCGCGTCACAGGGTCGACTGCTCGACAAGTCGCGAAAGCCAAATCTCCGGATTTGCTGATACACTTACTTCCTAAGTCCCAAGAGATTACACAGACAGATACTTACCCAGTTTTCTGTTGCTGAGAGATGAGGGCGTATTAAAAACTTAAAGTGGGAAACATTGGTTTTCAAATGGTTCAGCGGCAGACTAGGAAGGCCACAACCTTCTGGAGTTTGTTTTCGTATTAAAAGCACATAACTGAAAAGCCAAACAATCTTCTCAAAGCCCAGACCCAATCAATTTTTTTGCACATGCATTTTTACCCATGCCCTGGCTGAAAAGTTTCCCAAACGGTTTGTCTTGAAAAATGGTTCGGCAAAAGATTTTTTTTCATCAAATTTCCCAGGGCCTGAGCTAGAAAAAAACTTTCCCCGAACGGTTTTTTATAAAAAATGGTTCGGAAATTTTTTGTTCACCATATTTCCCAAGGCTCAGTCTGGAAAAAAAAACTTTCCCCAGACAGTTTCTTATGTTCGGATTTTTTTTTACCAAATTTCCCAAGGCATGGGCTGGAAAAAAAACAACTTTCCCAAACGTTACTTTCATAAAACAAATTCTTCGGAAAAACAAACCAGCAAATTTCACAGGGCCTGGGCCGGAAAAAAAAAACTTTCCCGAAAGTTTTTTTTAATTAAAAAAATGGCTCAGAAAAAGTTCTTCCCATCAAATTTCCCAGGGCCTGGGCTGGAACAAAAACTTTTCCCGAACGGTCTTTTTTATAATGGGCTGGGAAAAAATATTTCCCGAACGTTTTTTTTCAAATGGTTCTGCAAAAGTTTTTTTCTCTTTTATAAAAAATGGTTCTGCAAAAGTTTTTTTTCTCACCAAATTTCATAGGGCCTGGGCTGGAAAAAAAACTTTTCCCAAACGGTTTTTTTATAAAAAAATGGTTCTGCAAAAGTTTTTTCTCACCAAATTTCACAGGGCCTGGGCTGGAAAAAAACTTTTCCCGAACTGTTTTTT